GAGCTTGGCAGTTCGTAATAATCTGAAACAAAGCCCTATCAAATGAGTCGGGATTAAGGTCCCTTCCTCAACGGAGATAAGTTCTCCCCATTCTTCTGCAATATTTTTGAAGGTGGAATGACTCCACACAAACGGTGGGATCCCTTTGCACGAAAGCCGTGCCCGACGGTTGCTGCACTGAAAATGTTCCGACCACACTTCCACTTTGTCAAAGCAGTTTTTCAACGCCCCAATCTGATTATTTAGAGTATAATCCCTACTATCTTCATCTTCAAATATGATTAAAATTGCTAGCCCACTTAACCTCATAATTTTCGGACCGAATATGCCTTCCTTATGCATAATATCAGCTAACTCTTTCATTTTTATAAATTTTCTGCACCAACCAACCAAGCTATCTCTAAGGGTTAAGAGCTTATCCTCGTCAACAAAACCGACAATGGGAGTCTCTGAATGACTATCATCCTCCATTCTACTCTTGGCCTCGGTTGATTCTGGACCAGAATACTTCTTTCTCCAGAAAGCTTCACGAGGTTTAAATCTCGCCATGAAAACTCTAACTTTATTACCTTGAATCCTAGATCTGTCAGCACAGATGATAGCCTTCCTCGCGTCCTCCAATCTGGTGAAGCGAACAAAGCCAAACCTACTTCCTCCCTTGCTTCTTTTATTAGGGATGGAAGAATCAACAACCTCACCATATTTACCGAATATTAGCCAAAGACCTTGATGATGAAGAAACTCTGGAATATTGAAGATGATCACCGTAACGCAATTTTTCCAAACATAACTTTTCACCTTACTCGCCATGAATATTGACTAAAGAAATATGCCCAACCAAAAATTTCTCAGATCTTGAAGAGTAGCTTTGATGGGCTGGATGAGCTAGAGAAGAGTATATTTCTTGACATAGCATGCTTCTTTAAAGGCGAACCCATGGATGATGTAGAAAAAAATTCTAAGTAGTTATTATACCGGTGCAGTGTGTGGAATAAGCAACTTGATTGACAATTGCCTACTTGAAATCATAGATTCTCAACGTATTTCTATGCATGGTGTGCTGGAAGAGATGGGGAAGGACATTGTTGACCATGAATCTAAAGACAGTGGAAAGCGCAGTAGGTTGTGGAATTCTAACGATGTAAGTGCTCAATTTGAATCAAATAATATTATAAATATTTATAATTAAATTTAAATAAAAACTTAAAAATTCGACTCAAGTTTTGTAAACTCTGCTCAGCTAAAAAAAATTCAAATCAATTTCGAGTTGTAAAAAAAATTGTCAATTCACATAACTCAAAATATTTTTATTTGAATCGACTCGACTTTATCAAACGCTCACCTTTGATTGGGGATGAGAAATGTGCGTAATTGAAGGCATAGGGGGATCTGGTAATATAGGACTGAAAATAGGCTTATATTATATACTATATAACATATATATTCTCAGTAAAGTTGAGAGCAAGTTGTTGACTGATGATGTACTATGAACAGATGAGACAGTGGAACTAATTATAACACTTTAGTCCAATTCATCCTCTTAATTTCCGACTTCAATGAGACCTGTAAACTATATAGATACTCTTCAATTATAAGGTTTTTTTTAATAAAAATATAAATTAATCATATAAGTTAGATTATTATTTTTATACAAAAATTTAATATGAAAATTAAAAAATTTAATTACAAATTTAAATCTAAATAATTATATATTATTTTTAGATAACTAATTTCTTTATACAAAATAATTGATGATAAAATTATGTGTGAGAAATTATTCCAACAACGGTCTTCACAAGTAAAAGAATGAAAGAATGAGAGATTGTTTATGAACTTTCATTTTGCCGTAAGATAATGAAAATAATCTTTTAGGGATAATGATTAAATAAAATAAGTAAAAAAATATTTTTTTGATGTAAAAATTGAATTGTGAAAGACAAATAGAAGAGATAATGATAAAATAGGTTTAGTAAGGACAAAATTAGTATAATATTTAAATATTAAGAGTTAATTTTTTAGAATTAGCATTAAATTAAAATAGTGTGTAAATGTTGATGCCCAAATTTGCTATTATGCCATTTTTATTATTGTCATGTTAGTTTTATATCTAAAAGCTAATGATCAGTGATTATTTTGTAATTTTCGATAATTTGAATAATTAATTTATATTTTTAATAATCGAATGATTTTACTAAAAGATAGGCTATAATTAAGGATGAATAAAATTCGATTTAAAGAAATAATTTTATTTTCTTTAATTTCAAACATTCTAGTCAAATCAAATTTTTATTCATACATCGAATTTGAATTGAGTTCAAATTTACACAGTTCGGATAAAGAAAAACTAAAAACTATAATACACGGTCTGGTCCTTACCTAATAATTTAATTGTTTTGCGATTTGGTCACGATATTTTTGTTTCTTTGATTCCTCCTTTATTTTAAGTTCATTTTTGACTAAATTTGAACCATGTGCTTCTTAACAACATTGTAGAATACACGTGTCACTTCAATTTCTCTTTTTAATAATATTTTTTTCATATTTAGTTTCTCTATTTTATATTTTATTCAATTTGATCCTATGATAATAATTCTTTACATTCTTTCTTCACAACAATTCATTTGACTCTTTTATACTCTCGGCAGTATTTTATTCTAAAATTTATTTTTTAAATAATATTATAAATATATTATAGTCTATAGTAATATAATTTTAAATGATATTTGATTTATCAAATGAAATTATAATCTTAAAAATATAAAAAATATAGGTGTATATTGTATGTAATTATGGAGAGTAGTTTAAATTGAAACCAATAAATATCATAATATTATAATTAATTATATTTAAATTTTAACATATAATTAAGTAAATATATTTGACTCGACTTAAGTTATATAAACTCGACTGAATTAAAAAAATTTAAAAAAAAACAATATTCATAAATTTAATTAACTCAATTCAATCAAATATTCATCTTCTAATTAATAGATTATTTTGGTATTATTTAATCATTTAAAGAGTGATACCCTCTCTTTTTGGCGTTATTAAATGAAAAACCCTCATTTATTATTTTATTAGAAAAATAATCCTAAATAGCATTAATTAGAAAACATGCTCCAACTGCCCACGTAAGATGATCATATGTTTTATAAAAAATCGAATTTTATGCGTTTATTGTGACTTTTTTCAAAAATTAAATGAAGTTATCTGAAAAATTAGTAAATCTCACATTTTATAGAAAATAAGGTCTAGAACACGAGATAATTCTACGTGTGCAGTTTAGAATTATTTTTTCAATTAATACTATTTGAAGTTGTTTTTCTAATAAAATAATAAATGAGGTTTTTTATTTAATAACGCCCTCTCTTTTAAGGTCAATAAGATGTTTGTCCCAATTCAACGGTGCAAAAACCTACAAACTTTCTGCAGTAAAGTTTGTGTAGAGGCAGAAGGAATGGATGGAGTTTGGATTTTGGAGAAATTCAGGAAAACTATATAGCAGCTGATGTGATTGAGGCAGAGAAATGTGCATAATTGAAGGCCTGTGCATCTAAGTTCATAGGACTGCAAATACTCTATATTATATACATGGGCGGACTCAGGGGTTGCCAGGGATAGTCCGAACAACCCTTTAAATTGTGAGGAATATTGATCAAATGATATTATTTTAGTACTTTTATATATATATATTATGATTTTTAGGTAGAATCTCCATATTTCAGTTAAATTCTTATAGAAAAAAAAATTTTGTGCAATAAAATTGTCTATTTAGTGTTAATTTTTTTTAATTTTTTCTAATTAATACAAGTATCACCTTTAATATTGTGCAACCCCTAAAAAAATTTATAAGAATTTTTTTGTATAATCCCTGAATTTTTGTCCTAGGTCCGCCTATGATTATATACACAAATATTCCTCGCAAAGTTGAAAGCAGTGCTGATGTTGTATGGACGGATGAGGCAGTGGAACTAATTATAACACTTCATCTTCTTAATTTCCCTACTTTAATGAGCCCTTTACACTAATATATTCTATAATCTTTCACGAGAAAATTAAAAAGAATATATTTTTATAGGTAAATTAAATTATTCATCCCTCAACTATCTTCTCACTCATATTTTGATATTAAAGTTTAAAATTTTCAATTTAACTACTCAACTTTCAAATTGCTCCTATTTTAATGACTCTGATTTATTTCACTAATAATTGTTGTGACATGACATTTATTGTTGTCATTATATTAATATATAATTAAAAATAAAAAATAAATTTGAAAGTTAGAGTGTTTAAATTAGGAGTAATTTGAAAGTTAAGTAATTAAATTATAAAAAAATTAAACTTTAATGACCAAAATAGGAGTTATAAGATAGATGAGTGATGAGTGATGCAATTTACCCATAAAAAAGGTGTCTCATGCAAATCACCCGTTAAATTTTTAACGATGAGATACTAAAACGAAACAAAAACTTAATATTATGTATGATTTTGAAAAAAATGAAAGTTTAAGTACTAAAATGGACCAAAACTGATAGTTTAACTACTAAACACATAATTTATCCTATGATTTATATTATTTTCGTTTATAATTGAAAATGTTATATTACAAGGAGTTTAAGATTTACAATAAAAAAGGTTGTATAATTTGTAATAATTTCGGTTAAAACCCAAAATGTGATAAAAAATATAATAGATAAAAGTTATTGATAAATTTTACAATTACAACGGATTTCTATTGTTTTTTAAACCATTGTATTATAGAGTCATCTCTCACTACCTTTCACCTAAAAGTAAGAAGCAACATACACCAACACACGTTCTTGACTTTAGATTAGGCACATTATATACACTCACTAAAAAGTATATTGCAAAAATCATCACTACCCTTTAATCCTGCATGGGTTCATGTTACTTTTACCTCACTCCACCCTTTTTCTCTTTCCACACCAGAAAGGTCATTAAGAGAAGGTATCAGCTGCAGAAAAAACCAGATATTTGAGGTTTCAAAGGGAGCTGAATTTTGTAGGTTTCTTTTTTGAGAAAATGGGTGTTGTTACTGTTGCTGAACTGAAAACAAGTATATCTGGGAAGAGATCTTTTCGTCCGAGTTCGAGTATAAGGCACGCCACTGAATGGTATGTATGATATAACATTCTTTTCTGCAATTGTCTCCAATTCCATGGAACAAAGTTTAGTTTGTTGCAGGGTAGTTTTAAGTTTACATAAAAGCGACGTTTTCCAACTGTGGTCTACAAAACCAACAACTGATTTATTGGTGTTGTGTACTATTTCTTGGTGATCATAAATTTAAGCAACAGTGCATGCTTAGGTTGGTTTCTTGTTAAAGTGTGAACATGATGAGGTCATTTTTGATAGAATTCCCCACCCATACTTCTTAGAGGATTTCACTCAGTTATCAGCCACATCTTTAAGGGCCGCTCTATTAGACAGCACCACTCGCTGATGATCCATCGGGACGGTCGGTGCCGAATGCAATGTTCCACTACCAACTCCTTTTTCGAGCTACGATCTCGACCTTATATGTGGTTCCATTTCGATCAACGACGACAAAAACATGCACGACAAAGTCTTACAACACAGTTAATTGGAGCCCGACAAACCTTCTTGATTCTCATTGATCAATGGCAACAGAAAAAAAAAAACAGCAATTCAAGTCTCTGATTCAGATTTTATTGCCTTACTCCTGGTGTTTTGAGCTAACACCACTCATGTTATAAATTATTGAGTTGTCAGTTATCCGACATGGGCCCTCCACTGTCAAACCAAAGAATCAAGACAAACTTTGTCCATATCTTAAACATGTTCTCAATGGAAACATACCATGAAACTTAACAGTTGATTGAAATGGTGGAGTAGAATTCATGGTCTCAAGCATGGGAATGTAGGTCTATGGGAAAACAAGCAATATAATATCTAAATTAATGCATTCATCCGTGTTCTTCTTTTAATTTTCCTAGTTTTTTTAGTGTTTATGCAGCATCATTTAACTTATCTGTATTTGCAGGCCTATTTCTGATGTTTCTAGTGATCTCAAGATTGAGATTGGAGCATCAAGCTTTGCACTTCACAAGGTAACATATGTATATAAAATCTATGCTTCCCTTGAACGGCAGCAATGCAGGATCTGGTTTTGAGACCGTTTGAACTTCAGTTATTGCTGCAACATATAGATGCAATACCAAAAACAGAACTATGAACACCACCTGTTCTTTTTCTTTCAGTTTCCTCTAGTTTCTTGGAGTGGAAGGATCAGGAAGCTTGTGGTTGACGCAAAGGATGCAAAGGTTTCGTGCATAAATCTCTCTTCTGTTCCAGGTGGACCGGAGGCATTTGAACTAGTGGCAAAGTTCTGCTATGGAATAGATGTTGAGATTACATTATCAAACGTTGCTGTGTTAAGATGTGTATCACATTACCTGGAAATGGGAGAAGAGTTTGCTGAGAAGAACCTTGAAGCTCGTACCGAGGCTTATTTAAAGGATGTTGTGCTCCCGAACATATCGAGCACCATAGCTGTTCTTCATCGTTGCGAAAACCTCTTGCCTATATCAGAAGAGATCAACCTGGTTAACCAGCTTATCAATGCGATCGTGAATAATGCATGCAAAGAACAGCTCACTTCTGGCTTATTGAAACTTGATCACAACTTTCCATCGAAAGCTATGCCAAACACGGAAATGGAAACGCCATCCGACTGGTGGGGAAAGTCTCTGGCGGTCCTTAATCTTGATTTTTTCCAGCGAGTTCTGTTGGCCTTAAAGTCGAAAGGTCTAAGACAGGATATGATCTGCAAAATTTTGATAAATTATACTCATAATTCTCTTCAAAGCCTGGTTGTCAGGGACCATCATTTGGTAAAAGGAAGCCTATTGGAAATGGAGTTGCAAAAGAAACAAAGGATACTTGTTGAAGCCATAGTTAGCTTACTGCCTATTCAATCGAGGAAGAGTCCGGTCCCCATGGCATTTCTCTCGAGTTTACTAAAATCTGCAATAGCATCGTCAGTATCCACTTCTTGCAGACTGGATTTGGAGAGGCGGACTGGTCTACAACTGGACCAGGCAATTCTTGAAGATATACTACTACCAGCGAATTCACATGGAAACAATCATGCAGCCATGTATGATACAGAGTCGGTCCTGAGGATTTTCCACATCTTTTTGAATTTGGGCGATGAAGATGATGATGAAGATAATTCTTTGAGAGATGAAAGTGAAATTGCATACGATTTCGATGACCTGGGATCTCCCAAACAAAGTTCAATCCTTAAAGTTACCAAGTTACTGGACTCTTACCTTGCTGAAGTTGCACTAGATACAAACTTGTCGCTGTCGAAATTCATAGCATTAGCAGAACTACTTCCGGACCATGCTCGCATCGTTAGCGATGGACTATATAGGGCTGTTGATATCTTCCTCAAAGTAAGGATCTCACACAAAAGCACAAAGTAGTTGCATAGCTAACGATTCCGAACATAAAGGATCATTTTCTGATTCTTTTTACAGGTTCACCATAACATAAAAGATTCCGAACGCTACCGACTGTGCAAAACTATAGACTGCCAAAAACTATCCCAAGAAGCCTGTAGCCATGCAGCCCAGAACGAAAGGTTACCGGTGCAAATGTCTGTCCAAGTGCTATATTTCGAGCAAACCAGGCTTCGGAACGCGATGAGCGGAGGCCCCAATCAGTTCTTTTTTGGTGCAATCAATGGTCAGTTCCCTCAACGATCAGGCAGCGGTGCAGGTAGTGGAGCCATCTCGCCCAGAGAAAACTATGCATCAGTAAGAAGAGAGAACCGAGAGCTGAAACTCGAAGTTGCACGGATGAGAATGAGGCTAACCGATTTAGAAAAAGATCATGTGTCCATGAAACAAGAGTTGGTAAGGTCCCATGCTGCTAACAAGTTATTCAAATCCTTCACCAAGAAATTAAGCAAGCTCAACTCCTTATTCAGGATCAAAAACCTTAAGCCCTTAAGGGGTAAAGCGAATTCGGAATCTCGATTCTTTTTTCAAAGGCGTTGGTGTCACTCGGTATCATGACAATTGTAAAGGTGTGTATAACTGAAAGAGTGAATATAAATTATGTGTAGTGTGAAATTTGTGGTCTAACGACAGAGTTGAGATAGTAGAATTTTCCCTTTTTTATTTTTCATTTTTGTTAAGTGTTGGATTATGGGGTTGCTTGCTTAAGATAGTGGCATTTGTGACTGAGAACGTCTGTATGAATGAAGAAAATCTCAGACAACCAAGTAGCATAGACAAAGGAAAGGACATCACATGTGCAATTTAAAATTAAAGCTTGTCTGAAATTTAGAACAAGGACAACAGTAAGACCCTGTCCATCACCAAAAACAGTGTACAAGGATTCTTTTTTGGCAAAAACGCCTAACCGGCGACGATGTCATTAACCGAGTTTGTTTAACAGTATTGTATTAGATTTCAGAGTAAAGAAATTAGTAACTTCTTGTTTCAAATCCATATTGCTCCAGCCCTTATGAGCAATAGGGAAAGCTGGTTCTTGACTTGGAGGGTCATCACTTGATTAGGACCTCCAATAAGCTGCTGCGCTATGAACACAACCGGAACACAGGGCTTGCACCCCATCTTATGCAGTTCACTTTCGACTTGTTGGCCATTCTGGCTCTCGTCAAGCTCGTAAACCGTGGGGTTTGCCCCGAACCCACTTATGAGAGTCTTAATGGTATGGCTCATGCAACAAGTGCTCCGGCTAAAGATCACCACTGGCCTGTCTGCAACCATCCTTGTAACCATTTCCATTGATATGCAGATAGAGAAGAGTACACTTGAAACTGTTATGTGAACTTAAAAGGTTAAACTGCTTAGAACTGGTGAAGAAACTAACTACCCTGGTGCCCTATTTATACTGTCCATGGACTGATGTTGAGATTCTTGAGGAAGAATAGATAAAACAATCTAAAAGATCGTAGTTCCTGTATTCTGCTTGATGATTAAATGATAAAGACATCTATATATCCCACCCCTGTTTAGACTATTAACAAGTTGCATAACAATATGCTTATAAATACATGAAGTACGCCACAATAGGAAAAATGAAAAGGATTATGGATGCGAGATTCGAATTAATGACATGCCGGACGGTACCTTTAATGGCGACTGTACGAACAACTCCTGTTGCAGCATCTTGCTGAAGTGGAAAAAGGAGTTGGTTTATCCAATTGAATAACTTCATTTCAAGAAAAGAAAAAATGGAAAGACAAAATGATGCTTACGATAAAGGTATGTTGCCCTTAACAGCATTGAAGGATCACAAGAACAAACGTAAATGGCTGTTACACGAAGGAAGAAGAAGATGCCTTGAAGCCCCTCCTAAAAAATGAAATGAAGATGAGATATTCTTTCATATGGAACACCGTTGTTAGTGCACTAAACTATTTGGAAACGCCTACTAACAACACTGCACAATCTAACTTGGTCAGCAAGAAACAAGAATAGTAAAATCCGAAGCAGTGCAACCCTGATCAATAAAGAAGTTTCCTTTGACTTCAAGCAACTATGCATTTCAAGAAATGGGGTATATTATCATCATCTCCGCAAATATATTAAGAACATATTCTCATTCTCACTTTATCCTGAAATTTCCAATCCACTGATTTGAATCACGGGTCTGATGATAGTATCGAAAATGGCTCTGCATAGAGCAAAAGGCCGGGGTCACTTGATCAAAACATGAAATTTCTTTGACTTTTTACGTATACCAGAAACATATATAGCTGCAAGGATTCAATATGTGCTGATATATAAAAAAGAACATGTGAAGATATTTTTCACTGATTTTAAGCACACTAGGTCTTGTAGTGAGAATTTGGAATGTCAACAATGGTGGCTTCATCTGTTCATATAGCACCAACCAAGTTACTCGAGGAAAAAGAAGGATTCGAAGTGCTTAAGGTCGCTGAATCAGTTCTTGTTCGAATTAATGGTTTTCATTTATCCATCAAAAGTCAAAACCTGCTATAATATCATGATAAAAAAAGATTTTTTTTTCATTGCATTGTTTTATGTAGACGCCAAGCAAATCAGAACAAAATCAGTTCATTTTTTGAGAACATGAATAGATAGATGTAAAGTAGTCATCCTTTTACTGTTGTTGATGAAACAATGTTATTCCGCAAAATCTAAGCGGATCATAATCCGACCAAGATGCTGAGTTTAGCGCCTAGGACGGCAACTGCAGGGCGCATTCTTTGCCCCTCGTCCACACATCAGGTCATTTTGGCGGGTCGGTTACCTTTTGTTTGGGTCAATTTGAGTTCTAAAACTTTCATATTATTTTAGATTGGCTTAAAATAAATATAAAAGTAAGTGATTAAACTATACTGTTTTTTAATTTAAGTGTATAAACTCTTTTTCGATCAATCCAAGTTTACAAAAGTTACCATTTTAAGTGATTCGAACAAGAATTGAACTCTATGAGATTTGATCTCTGTTGTTCCTCAGTAGCTCAGCGGTAAAGCAGTCGACTGTTAACTGAATGGTTGTAGGTTAAAATCCTATTTGAGGGAATTGATTCATTCTGAATTAAAGAATTCAAAATGTCAGAATGGAAGAGTTGGCTTTGACCATGAAGAGTTTGGTAATACATTGCATGTGATAATGAATGTTTAGGAGGAGGTGACAATCTAGAAGCAGTCACCAAGGACACCTTAGAAATCCGTAAAAGTTTGAGAGATAGAAAAGCATCCTTTCATTAATTGATTTTGTCTGCTTTTGAGGATTAAAAATATGAGTAAAATAAAATGTAAAACGTGAAGAATATATGTAATCCTTGGATTTTATTTCCCATATTAAATATACTATCTATTTCTCCTCTCTTTTCTATATTTTTTTGGTTTTTCTGATTTGATCATAACAATTTGGTGTTTTCGTTGCATATCATGGTAGTCAATGAAGGAAACTTAAAAGTCACTTCCAAAATCCCGATCAAAAAACGAAAGCTAATGATGTAAATGAATGTCACGTCCAGAGCCCTCACAGCCACAAAAGAAAAGGAGCAGCTAGTCGTTCGAACCGACTGAAGAAATTCTCACAATCGAGAAATACTTTGGAGGCGTTCCAAACTTCTATCTCAGATCTGTACCCCTATTTGATTAAAGGTCAATACCTCACATCGAGACCAATGAAAGTGCCACCAAACCCTTCGGCCCACAACTATAATCAAGATAGTGTATGTGATTTCCACTTGGCAATGTGATTTCCACTTGGGGGCATATGGGCATTCTACGGGGAATTGTAGGACGCTGTTAAAGGAGATAAAAGATGCTTTTTGAAAATGGGACATTGACTCAAGAATTGGTGGAACAGTGGATGACGAACTTGAATGGGGCATCAAAGCACAATATGTAGCATCCGTTTGAGTCAATTGCAACTGCATTAGATGAGTAATGGGGCATCCTAATTAGGAAAAGATCATTTCATCCATCATTAATTTTTATTCCATTTGCAACATCTTGTTTGAATTTTTTTTTGCCCCTTCTCAGTTTTTTTGTAAGGATATTTTAAATGAACTTATGCTACTTTAAGGATGGTGAACATTGAATCAAATTTGCAATCTTGCAGTTTTTCGAATATCAACTGAATTAAAAACTCTTTAAATAATTAGAGTTATGGATATTTGACAAAGTGACAAGATTGAAAATTGATAAAACAAGGACCCTTGACCTTACCCCAGAAGATACACTTAAACACCATACCCTTTTCTTATAGGGAACAAGCTAGCCTTCTCTTCGAATGAAGAGACAATTAAGGGCTTGACATTCAGGTATGTAAGGATGTGGACAAAATGGAGCATCTTGCACATGAGATTACAAAGTTGATTGGTTTCTACTTTTGTTGATGACGTTCAATGATGATCATGATCTTCACATATGCAATAGTCGAGTAGGTGAATCTAGTCTAGGTCAGCTGCATGGAAATTGAACTCTAAGGATGATATTTTCCGACTTTCAACAACACCTGGACTATAACTGCTTCTTCTTGACAATGTTAAGAAATTGAATCCATATATACAGAATGTAATTATATATGTATACAATATAGCCTGAGCTATCCCTTTAGAGAAATTGGTTAAACGCCTACCTTTATGGATAAATTCAGCTAGCCTGATAAAGGTGATATTGCTATATATATATATATATATATACAATAAAGTTGAATTCAACTAGCCAAACAATGGGAAATTAAATCAAATTTATCTAAATAAGGAGTTTTTGTAAAGACGGACTAAGGGAGTTAGGGAACACTTGTTATAGTCAATTTCACATGAGCACTCAAGAATTTTATTTTTAGACTGATATTTCTACATTGCGAGTCTACAAAGCTTGAAAAAATGGAAGATTCCAGAGAACTTAAATAAAAGTGTTCTAAAAGACTTAGCCATTGATTATGCTAGTTGCAACATTTTGTTTTGCACCCAATTAAATGCCAAGCCAGAAACAAAGGGCATGTATAACATTCCAAAGAGCAAGGACAAGAATAAGGAGTTGATGGCTAAAACCAACCTATCAATTTTGACACTTGTCAAAGAACTATAACTTTGAAAATATTAAAGAGCTGTTGATTTTTTTGATATTCTGTGAAATCATGTTTATGATTTGATTTGATTTGATTTTGAGCCTGAATTAAGGGGAAATATTTTACAAAATTATTTCATTCTTTCATTTCTAAAATAAAATAAAGGAGAAAACATTTTCAAACAGGATAGTCTCAAAAGCGAAAGGTCCTTGAAGCAGGTGAGGCCCATTCTACCTCTATTGGAGAAAAAGAATAAGCGATGCCAGAATAATGAAGCATTCCACAATCTTGAAAGAAAATGGTCCGAGAGATCAGAATGACTGGAGGATAGAACTTGTAACACTTCCTCGTGATGTTATCGGTAACCCATCGAGAAGTAGATGATTGCCTTGTTTAAAAGGGGCACATATCCCAGCGCATAGCAAAAATGCAAGGTTGAGACCAGTCAAGGATGAATTTTGGCACCTAAATAGAGAAGAGTCATAAAAGTACCCACCTTGGGGCATGAGCAAAAGCCTAGATCATGTTGAGATAACAAGAATTAGACCAAGAAGATATTGAGAATGAGTCTCACAACTTGAAGTTTCAGGGACACACCATGGATTTGAGCAGAGCTTACCTTGAAAAGTAAACCAACCGAGCATCAATAAACTGTAGAGTCCTGGGAAAGATAACTCTGACAGCGTAATTAAGTCAGGGATAAAAAGGGGCATCAATATCATATTACTGACCACAACAAGAATTCAAGAAACATTTCTTCTGAGACTTTAATGTATACGTGAGGCAAAGAAGACGCAAAGACATAAGATGATTAGATAGATCTTCAAAGTTACAAGCTTGAAATCATAAGTTGCTACACTGATATATGAGTAAACCCTAGAGAAGATTGATCAAGAGGAAGAAGACATGGTTCCCCACTTTGGAGTCAAAAGAAAATTGAATAAGCATTTATGCATGCATGAGAACATCATTTGCATAAAAGAAAATGCATTATATTGCATCCACATTTCACACGTAGATGTATGATTTTTCAAATCTTTCATAGAAAACTGAAGATTCATGATATCAAAATCCTAACATGTGAAAGCTAGAATTCAAACCTCAAATACATGAAATCATGTTTAAGGAGGCAGAACTTGAAGAACAGGTGGGCCCAATCCATAGAGGAAGCATTATAAGTGGGGCATATTGCTCGACCATTAAGTCATTTTATAAGTTAAATAATAAGAAAGGTTTCTCATATAAATATGAAAATTGAAATTTTTGAAAAGTAAGAAAGGTTT